TTGGGTTAATTTTAATGTGCTGCACCTTTTTTGCAGCTGCTTTTAAATTTGGTGAGGTGTTTTCTTGGTTTAAATCAAGGCTGGGGAACTTTAAGTCTGGGGGCCACATGCAGCCCTCTCCGGCCCTCAGGAATCTCCCTCGCCCACCTCCCTCCCTGGCCCTCTTTGGACTGTCCTTGGATGGGCTTGCCTGGGTGGAATTCTGCCCTTCCTCTGAGGAGACTTCTTCCTTGGCTGGAGGGACGACAGAGAGGGAGGTCAAGGGGGCAGAGAAGCCTTTGCTTCCGGCATCACAAACACCCACCCACCCCTTGTGGTCGCCCATCTTGCGAGAGGGCAGGACCCCCTGGGTGGCAGACTGCAAATACTCCACATTAACCCCTTCAATTCTATGAATCTAGTCTAGACTACTTTTGTTCTTGCTACCCCCCTCTTCCCTGGGAGGACTCCAGCAATTTCAAAACACAATACTAAAAAACCATTAAAAACAAAATCTCCATCTTCCCAGAGCCACTCTCAGTCACGGCTGCGATAAAAGAAATACTGTGATGCCTTCTGTGTATTAAATAAATGCAGACTTCTCTTACAAGATGGATTCCTAGATCATTCAAGTGGGTTTGTTATTTACGCATACAGATCTGGGGAACATTTGCACAGTGTCCCTTCGCACTGCAGGGGTTGGACTAGATGATCCTCAGGGTCCCTTCCAACTCTGCAAGTCTATGATTCTATGAGAACATCAGAAGGGCATTTGCTGGATCAGGCCAATGGCCCACCTAGCCCAGCCTCCTGTTCTCACGGCGGCCAACCAGATGCCTCCATTGGGAAACCAGCAAGCAGGATTCGAACACAAGAGCAACTCTCCTCCTGAGTTTTCCAGCAACAGGATTCAGAAGCATCGCTGCCTCCAACTGTTTTTGCGCACTAAAGGCGCATGGCTGTGAATGCATGTACACCTGTGCGCGCCTGTTCACACCTGCTGGGCTCCTGCCTCCCTCAGCACGGGAGGCCTGGACATTTCCCTGCTGAGCCTCTGCCAGCTGCTTGGCCCTCCTTTGCCCCCACCCCTTGTCAGAATCCGTCCTCTGCTGTCTCTCCCTCTCCTTCCGCCTTAATTGGTCTCCTTGCGGCCCACTTTGGATGCAGTGATTGGAGGATGGGCAGAGCAGCTTAGCAGGTCTTCATTACAGCCGCTGCTGCCAGAGCAGCTGGCAGGAGGGCGTCAGAGCAGAGCTGGGGGGGGCAGGCTGGCAGGGGGCTGGCAGGAGGCAGATGGCCAAGCAAGCCGGGCTCTGGCTGCCGGACAGGAGCTGCAAGGAGTCCTGGCAGGCAGGCAAGAAGGCGCTCCTTCTGATCCGGCAGACCCAGCCCGGCCTGGCACTGGTCTGCCACCGTCATCCCTCTCAAAGGCAGGACCCAGTTCCAGACACAGGTGGGAATCTGGGAGCAGGGTGTTAAAGGAGAAATCTGAGGGCTCCCTTGGACAAAATAACAAGGACCCCAGCCAGGAATACCAGAGCAAAACAGCAGCCAGTAGGCTTGGTCTTGATTGAAGACTGTCACGACAGGACTCCCACCTGCCACCAGGTGGAACAAGATGGAAGCCCCAAACAAAAGAGAACCCAAACTTTTATTAGCTGCTAATCCCCATGTTACACCCCCCACACTACATCACTAATACATCATGGTTACACCATGAAAGGGGAGGTCTGGTGGCAGGAATCTGAGCATCCTGGACCCTGCCCCATGGTTCCCCTTGCCCTCCACCAAACACCCATCAAGTGGAACAAAGGAGATCTTTACATTTCCCTGTTTCCCAGCCACGTTCATCCCACCCTTTTGTCTTCATCTGGGTTTGTTATTTCTGGACTGGCTACCTGTCTGGCACTCAGGTCTCAGGATGCCAGGGATTATCACTCAGGCAGAGGGGCTGCTGAGGAGCTGAGCTCACATGTCTAGATGAATTTTGAAGTTTTCCCAGTGAGCCAGTACATAGGTACATTTATCAGTGAATTGTTACATTTGGTATTGTGCAGCAAAGGCCCTTCGGATAGATAGGAAGAAACTGTGATGAAGTGTTTTGTGGGGACAAATCACAAAAGTCACAAAAGCGATGGTGCTGGTTTTGGTAGTGGGCTGCATGTGCATGATATCTGCTGGAGGGGCAACCCCCCCACCTATACATAAATTCCTGCAACAAGAGCAAACAAAGCCCCCCCAGCTGGCCCCCTCTGGGTTTCCCTGCCCACCACCCACCCAGGCTTCCTGGGAGCCAAGAGGCGCTTCCAGCACCAGAATTGGAGTCCTAGAATCATAGAGCTGGAAGGGACCCCAAAGGTCATTTAGTCCAACCCCCTGCAATATAGGAATCTCAGCCGAAGAGCGAGACCCAACCTCTGCTCTAAAATGAAGGAGAGGCCGGCACCTTCCATTTTCAGCAGAGGGAGGACAGCTGTGATTCCTGTGTTGCAACGGGTTGGACTAGATGGCCCTTGGGGGTCCCTTCCAGCTCTACAATTCTGTGATTCATTAGAGGATTTTCAAATGAGGTTGGATGGTCCTCTGCCAGGGATTCTTCAGCTGTGATTCCTGTGTTGCAGGCGGGTTGGCCTAGATGACCTTTAGGGGTCCCTTCCAACTCTATTATTTCTAATGCCATGCTGCTCCCTGGCAGCTCCCAGTCTCCTCCTGATCCAGCAGGATTCATTTTATTTTCATTTTTAATTGGTATACTGCCTTTCTCTTTTACTATAAACAAGGCGGTTTAAAAGCTGAAGAAACAACAGAATAGACAGCAAAGATCAGACGCTTAATAACAGTCTGATCCAATAGAAAAAAGTCACAATAACTTTAAAATGAACAACATATCAAATAAACCAATATTCAACAATCCATTAGAATATAACAGTAAACAGTAAAATTAAATATCAGCAAACAGTGTAAACAGTTTACACTTATCAATTACAATAAAGAATTACGTACTAACCTATAATCAATAAAAATAACGGCAAGTCACAATACATAAAATACCACAAAATATACAAAACCATGTAAAATTGAGAAACAAGGGCACACATAAAAAGAAAAAATTAAGTATCCCTGAAGTTCTCTTCTCTCTTCCCAACTGCTTCTGCTGTTCTCAAAGTCATAGTCTTGAGCCTTGAAAAGGTCAATATGGAGGTCAAATGGCCGAAATATTGGGAAATTTTGGAACAAGACGGAGATAGACTGAAATTGCAGAGTTTTGAAAAACTAAAAAACAAAGTGCAAGACTGGCTTCATTATTATCAGATAATGGAGGTATTTAAACTGGACAGGAAATTTGGCTTCCAGGTGGAAAGATCCAAATTAGAAACAGAATTGTTAGAACCCAAGACTAAGAATTTGTCAAGAATGTATAACTTGCTGCTGAAATGGAATACTCAAGATGAAACGGTAAAATCGGCCATGATTAAATGGGCACAGGACGTTGGACATAACATCATGTTTGCTGACTGGGAACAGTTATGGACCACAGGTATGAAATTTACGGCATGTAATGCCTTAAGAGAGAATATTATGAAAATGATATACAGGTGGTACATAACCCCAGTCAAGCTTGCTAAAATATATCACTTGCCCGATAACAAATGTTGGAAATGTAAAGAAACTGAAGGTACATTTTTTCACCTTTGGTGGACGTGCCCAAAGATTAAGGCTTTCTGGGAAATGATATATAATGAATTAAAAAGGTATTTAAGTATACCTTCCCTAAGAAACCAGAGGCCTTTCTCCTGGGCATAGTCGGCCAAATGGTGTTAAAAAAAGGATAGAACTTTCTTTATGTATGCAACAACAGCAGCAAGAATACTCATCGCAAAGTACTGGAAGACACAAGAACTTCCCACGCTGGAGGAATGGCAGATGAAACTTATGGACTATATGGAACTGGCGGAAATGACTGGTAGAATCCGTGACCAGGGAGAAGAGTCGGTGGAGGAAGATTGGAAGAAATTCAAAGACTATCTTCAGAAACATTGCAAAATTAAAGAATGTTAGAGTGATGTTGGACTGAAAATAAGCGGTTTCCAGCTGTACAGGTTAAGGTTAATGGTAGACTAAGACTAAAGATTAGGATTAAAGATGTTTGATGAAATGGAAATTTGATAATTAAGAGGTAAAACTTTAATGTTACACTACATTAAGACTAAAGATTAGGTTTAAAGAAGTTGAAATTATATATTTCAATATTATATTAAAATTAAAGATTGGGATTAAAAAAGTGGAAAAGAAACTGCTGGACAAATAATGTGGATTGGAATACAAAAGAGGGAGGTATGAGGAAGTCCAGAAAATAAGTAATTTAAAATTGGAAATGGAAAAGAGAGTTTGTTTTTAAATGTTATGCTTTTTGTTTTTTATTGTTGAGCTTTGTATTGTTTTTTGTGTGTGTTTTTTTTCTTTTGTTGTTTAAAACTTTAATAAAAATTATTTTTTTTAAAAAAACAAAGTCATAGTCTTGGAAAGGCTCCCGGGTGGGGTGGGGGGGCAAGGCAGGTGAGAAAAGCCATTGCCTGGCCAACAGCAGAGCCGCGTTCCCCCTCCTTGCTCTCCTTTGTGCCTGCAGGACAGGGGGCAGGGGCAACTGATCTAAGTAAAAAAATTAAAAATTGTCCAGTAGCACCTTAAGATAAAGGTAAAGAGACCCTGACCCTTAAGTCCAGTCATGGATGACTCTGGGGTTGCGGCGCTCATCTCGCTTTACTGGCCGACGGAGCCGGCGTACAGCTTCCGGGTCATGTGGCCAACATGACTAAGCCGCTTCTGGTTTACCTTCCCCCCGGAGCGGTACCTATTTATCTACTTGCACTGGGGTGCTTTCGAACTGCTAGGTTGGCAGGAGCAGGGACCGAGCAACGGGAGCTCACCCCGTCGTGGGGATTCGAACAGCCGACCTTCTGATCGGCAAGCCCTAGGCTCTGTGGTTTAACCCACAGCGCCACCTGCATCCCTTAGTAGCCCCTTAGAGAGCACCTAAGTTTGTTCTGGGTATAAGATTTTGTGTGCTTGCACACTTCTTCAGATAAAAGCTTATACCCAGAACAAACTTAGGTGCTCTCTAAGGTGCCACTGGACAATTTTTTAATTTATTTTGACTGCGTCAGACCAACACGGCTACGTACCTGAATCTGGGCAACCGATCGTTGGGCTGGGCTGGGCCAGACTGAGCTGGGTCCATGAACTAGGCTGAACAGGAACCCTGGGCTCTCTGGAGGCCTGGCTGCCCCCCCCGCCTCCTGAGCCCCTCTGTCTGGGGAAGAGCAGGTGATGGGCTTCTTGAAGGCAGGCAGTTGCTAAGGGAAAGCTTTGTCTGTGCCTGCTCAGCAGCTCCCCGGAGACCTGACTGTGTGTTGGCAGCAGCAGCAGCAGCTGGGAGAGCAGGGCAGGTGCCCATCACAGGAGAGCCCGCTGGCACCTGCCCTCTGGCACCATCTGGCTGGCATCCGCCTGTCTCCGGAGACAAAGGCAGTGTCTGGTGGGGCGGAAAAGGGGGAAGCTGAGAAGAGCCTGCCGGATCTGGCCAAAGGGGCCCGTCTGGGGAAGGAGACGGGGGACTCTCCTTCCTTAGAGGTTTCCCAGGAGAGGTTGGATGGGCATCTGTCTTGGATGCTTCAGTGGAGGTTCCTGCACTTCAGGGGGTTGGACTAGATGACCCTTGGGGTCCCTTCCTGGACCTGAGTGCGAAATCCCCTCCTGTATCTTCCAGCAACCAGCATGCAGAAGCATTGCTGCCTGACTGAGGAGGCAGAGCACAACCATCCTGGCGAGTGGCCCCCCCCCAAAGCCCTCTCCTCCACCTCCAAGTTGTTTTCTAATTTGGCAAAGGCAGCGGCAGCTGCCAAGTGGAAGAGAGGCATCTGGGGCATCCGATTGCAGCGCCGGCTCCACTGGGAGCTCTGCTCTCTGACGGCTGGCAGCCGCCTTCTTCTTCTTTGGCCATCATTCGTAGCTGAGTAAGATTGTCTTCCATGAACATGGTTTTAACAGTGGGTCCGTAAGTGACGGTGGAGGCCAGTTCTGGATCCACACGTCCTTCCACAGTGGGGACAGAGGTTTCCGGGCAGGAGTTGATCCCAGTGAGGGTTTGCCAAACGTGCCTTCCTCTTAGCACATTTCCCCATTTCATCCTGAGTTTGAGCATCTTCAAAACTTAAGACACCTTTGGTAAAGGCTGTTAATAATAATATTTGTTTGTTTGTTTATTTATACATACATACATACATACATACATACATACATACATACATACCCTGCCCATCTGGTTGGGCTTCCCCAGCCACTCTGGGCGGCTTCCAACAAAATATTAAAATACAGTAATCCATCAAACATTAAAAGCTTCCTGAACAGGGCTGCCTTCAGATGTCTTCTAAAAGTCTGGTAGTTGTTGTTCCCTTTGACATCTCCAGCTGGAGCGCTCGCAGGCCAGTGTTTCCCAGTTGTTGGTGTTTATACTACATTTCTCTTACGGCTGGCAACCAAACAGGCACTGTCTTGTACGGCGCGGGTTAGACTATGGGTAGATCTACACACAGGGGAAACCGCTATAAATAAGTCAGAAATTAAATCATTGTAACAACAACAACAACAACAACAACAAATGCAATGGAAGATCACAAATAATTTTTATTTTACTCTCTGGCACCACCTGGTGTTGCATGTTTATAATATTTTCCAAAGAGTGTTTCCTTACTAAAGTAGCTGAGTCCTACAGTTAGAACTGGATATGGAACAACTGATTGGTTCAAAATTGGGAAAGGAGTACGACAAGGCTGTATATTGTCTCCCTGCTTATTTAACTTATATGCAGAATTCATCATGCGAAAGGCTGGGCTGGATGAATCCCAAGCAGGAATTAAGAGTACGACAAGGCTGTATATTGTCTCCCTGCTTATTTAACTTATATGCAGAATTCATCATGCGAAAGGCTGGGCTGGATGAATCCCAAGCCGGAATTAAGATCGCCGGAAGAAATATCAACAACCTCAGATATGCAGATGACACAACCTTGATGGCAGAAAGTGAGGAGGAATTAAAGAACCTTTGAATGAGGGTGAAAGAGGAGAGCGCAAAATATGGTCTGAAGCTCAACATCAAAAAAACGAAGATCATGGCCACTGGGCCCATCACCTCCTGGCAAATAGAAGGGGAAGAAATGGAGGCAGTGAGAGATTTGACTTTCTGGGGCTCCATGATCACTGCAAATGGTGACAGCAGTCACGAAATTAAAAGACGCCTGCTCCTTGGGAGAAAGGCGATGGCAAACCTAGACAGCATCTTAAAAAGCAGAGACATCACCTTGCTGATAAAGGTCCATATAGTAAAAGCTATGGTTTTCCCAGTAGTGATGTATGGAAGTGAGAGCTGGACCATAAAGAAGGCTGATCGCCGAAGAATGGATGCTTTTGAATTCTGGTGCTTGAGGAGACTCTTGAGACTCCCATGGACTTCAAGAAGATCAAACCAATCCATTCTGACGGAAATCAGCCCTGAGTGCTCACTGGAAGGACAGATCCTGAAGCTGAGGCTCCAAGACTTTGGCCACCTCATGAGAAGAGAAGACTCCCTGGAAAAGACCCTGATGTTGGGAAAGATGGAGGGCACAAGGAGAAGGGGACGACAGAGGACGAGGTGGTTGGACAGTGTTCTCGAAGCTACCAGCATGAGTTTGACCAAACTGCGGGAGACAGTGGAAGACAGAAGTGCCTGGCGTGCTCTGGCCCATGGGGTCATGAAGAGTCGGACACGACTAAACAACAACAACAAAGTGATCCTTCCAACCCTCCAGTTCCATGATCCTACAGGGCCTCTCCTCTGAGAAGTCTCTCTCAGGTGAGGCAGGTCTGCTGCCAGAAGCAATAACTGCACATCTGTGGGCAAGAATTTAACAGTAAGCATCCTTACACACCCGTGACTCTTGGACCCTTTGTATTGTGCAATTAATGGGGTTGACCCAAGACATTTTAGCACCTGCGAAGAAAGGGTGAGTGAAGATCTACACCAGGAAGAAGGGGAAATAAAGATCAACATCGGGTTCTGCTGCCCCCAGGGATCCTGCCGCCTGAGCCAGTCGCCTCCCCTTGCCTCAGGGGTGGGCTGGCCATGGCATTCTGGATGGTTTCTTTATTCTTTTTTAAGAATAATTTTTATTAACCGACCAATCACATCAAATCAAACCAAATTATATAAATTCCAAATTACACAGCCGAATTTTAAATTTTTGTTGGGGGTACCCATATTTCAAGTTCCGAAGGGGATCCAATCAACTTCTTGCTTCTTACTGCTGTTTCAGTGTCCACAAATCTAACCTTATGATGTTCACAGTACTATCCAGTCCTTTCTTATTGTTTTTCCACATCTCTTCTTGTTATTTTCATATATTTTTCCTTTCTCTTTGTGACCTCTGATAGTCTCCACAAGCTGGTTAGAACAGTTTGTAATCCTGCGTGGATATTATTTTTTTTATCCAGTAGCCATATCCAGACGTTTTCCATATAACATCACTTCCATACATCAAAACAGTCTTAGCGTCATTAATCTTCACCAATCTGCCTCCTTTCTCAAAACCTCTGAGGAGATTCACCAGGAATGCAGTCTGAAAACAGGTCCGTTCCTCCTCCCGGCTATAAATCCTTTGGCAAGATGGCGACTCCGAATTAATTGCTGCGCCATTCCAAAAGCTCTTATTGCTTCTCGATCTCCATAAAGCATAATTTTGGTTAAAGTTTATCTCCACACAGACCTTAATCATTCTGCTTGGGTCAGTTCAACTGACGATTCTAATGGGGGGGGGGGGGTTCTTGTAAAACACAAAGAAGGAAACTAAAAAAGGTTCCCCCCCCCCATTCAGTCCCGTTGTCAACATACCCCGCCTTTGGTGTATCTTCATCGTAAAATATTCCTGTTTCTCCAACCCGTTGTCTTCTTTCGCAGAGGTCACTTAAATTAGCAGACTTCACTCCCCTTCTTCACTTGAAATATGTGCATTTGCTTCTTTTGTAATTAATTATTCCAAACTGCTGCAACTAGTGCGCGATCAGAGACAGCATCCAGGAGAGCCGAGGTCCACACGGGGGCATTCTGCCTAGGGCCCTCACCCCCTTCTTTCGAATTAGGGGGTGATTTATGGGCACAGCAGGCAAGGGCAGTGTTCCCCATTTCCTTTTTTTTTTTTTTAATGATATTTATTAAAGTTTCACAAAAATACAGAAAACAAAGAAAAAAGTATAAATTACAGCAAAAAAGTAAAAAGTAAGAAAAAACATACAAAATAAAACAGTTAAAAACACAATAATGTTCCATAACCTATCTTCCTTACTCTTATTTCCCGGACCTCCTCATACCTCCCTTCTTTGTATTCCAATTCAATTTGTTGGTTCAGCAAATCCTTACCATTAATCTTTTACCCAATTGTTAACCTTTTTCCCCCATGTCTCTTAAAGCATTACAGCTAAAAACCTCTTAGTTTCTATCCAACATCCTTCTAAAGTTCCTTAATTTTGCAATATTTCTGTAAATAGTCCTTAAATTTTTTCCAGTCTTCTTTCACCGACTCTTCTCCCTGGTCTCGGATTCTGCCAGTCATTTCCGCCAATTCCATGTAGTCAATCACCTTCATCTGCCATTCTTCCAAAGTGGGTAGATCTTGTGTCTTCCAATACTTTGCGATAAGTATTCTTGCTGCTGTTGTAGCATACATGAAAAAGGTTCTGTCCTTCTTTGGCACCAGTTGGCCGACAATGCCCAAGAGAAAGGCCTCTGGTTTCTTCAGAAAGGTATATTTAAATACCTTTTTCAGTTCATTATATATCATTTCCCAGAAAGCCTTAATCTTTGGGCACGTCCACCAAAGGTGAAAGAATGTACCTTCAGTTTCTTTACATTTCCAACATTTATTATCGGGCAAATGATAAATTTTTGCAAGCTTGACTGGGGTCATGTACCACCTGTATATCATTTTCATAATATTCTCTCTTAAGGCATTACATGCCGTAAACTTCATACCTGTGGTCCATAACTGTTCCCAGTCAGCGAACATAATATTATGTCCAACATCTTGTGCCCATT